GGTTGCAAACATAAGATTATACTTCCGGAATCGTAGCTGAGTTATGTGTGCCGTTGATATAGGTCACACAATAACACAAGCTCAAAACACATCACTCGATGTGAATTGAAAACCATGCACCACCAATATCACAGTTGCTCATATGATAATATTTTATGCATTTTCATAGAAAGCATTGAATGTATTTGTGTTGTTAAATTATTTTTTTGTGAATTGTATTAACTGTAAACTACCTGGGGTTTCTGTGGGTCTTCTTTTCCTATTAAAGTAAATACACCATTTCGCACACGATATCCAGAGACAACCGTACCTGAAATAACATGGAAACTGTGTAAACAAATTTGTCAAATATTTTAATATGATAATACCAGGCATGTAATTGATAATAATGTAAGTACATATACGTTATATAACAAGACTTACCTAGATTGTTTGTATGCACTCTGAAGGCAAACGGATGCAAAACAGCTTGTCCATTGTATAAACAGTCTGCATCTATATGCCCTGTGAAGTAAGTGATACTGGCATTTTGAAAATGTAATTTAATTGACAGTAAAAGAAACCTAAATATAAATATAGTATATTTTAAATAAAGAAAATAAAAAAATGCTTACATTTCCTCATGCGTGGGGGAATTGCAGAACTCCCACCCGACAATAAAGACACGCCTGCCAAATACGTCGGCCTGTAAAACAATAACAAGGTAGATCAAATAAATCAAAACACGTTTATCACGACTTCCATGATAGCAATATTACTTTCACTGATCGCCATGATCGTGTAGTCAAAGAATACATATGAAATAGTATTTTACACGAGTAGATACAATGTAGTGTTATATAATCACTTTCATTAAATTTCATCATCCAATATAATATTACTATCTATTAAGTGTCAACATCAGCTATTAATTATAACGTTGTTATGTCTCTACTTTATACATAACCCAGTCAAAATGATTGACCTGGTGTAAAAAAAATCTATATATATGACTACATTCTAAAAATTAGAACATCCGTTCCAAACATACTATTTAGTAGGATAAAAATGAAAGTTAGATACAAATAAATACTTTTTAATTGTCATCTTCAATGTTAAACCCGATGTGTCTTTTAATGCTTCATCTAGATACCTATCCACTAGACCGTAATGTACTTGAAGTACTAGATAATTGATTCCAGAATTACCACCAACTTTGAAACCTAAACCTGGAAGAGTTAGTATACATTAATATACATGCGTGTAACTATATGCTTAATGGAGTAAAACCATACAAGACAAATGAGGTATCTGGTAGCTCTAAAAAGTATGTGGTGAACGCAAACCTGGTGATTAGATATGTATAAACACCATATGTCAAGATTTCACAAAATTCTAGCACATCTACTAATATATGGAATATATGGTTTGATGACAATGTTGGCAATCTTCATTTATTGAAACACATTCAGACGTAATTAATTGATGATATCATAAGAAATGGTAGGTATGACACTTCCGATGAATTATGTTTATTTGGTATGAATTTATCAGCAAATTGTTCATAACATATGATATCTGCTATGACTAATTATCCAATTATCGTTGTCCCACAAACTATCAGTCATTAGAGGCATGGTTTCACAGCTGTAACTTATCCCACAACTGTGACCAATATGTTTAATTTTATTCCATATTTTATAATATTATCCAATGACAATGTAGCCTTAAATCATATTATGGTTTTTATTGCTTTCAATAACTTACTTGCTGGTAGAGACAATTCCGGGCTATTTGCACCCCATGCATACAATATAAATTCTGGTGAGTCTGGTCCACACACACCGAGACCCATGTTCCCACAATTCCTAGAAATAAAGTTTAAGTGACAATTCAAACTACTTCCGCTCATATTATTCTTCAAGTTCCCAGCAATCAATCACAGTCCCTCTATCCCCGGTCTGAAAACGCTCATTGTATTAGGTGTGACATTTTTGACATTTACAAATTAGTTGTTCATTCCAGTATTCGAGTTTTTTCACATAATTTTTTAATCAGTATATCTGTATAAAGTCACATTTAGTAGTTTTTTAATTCATCTATTCACACATTTCGGCAACAAATTTTCATACCTTTACCCAGACATTTTTCCTGTTAAGATTTTGTGTTCACCCTTTTTTAATTATTACAAATTGGTGGGCTGATTTGTTATTTTTCACACGCATTTTTTTAATGTTAAAAGAGAAGTCAAGGCTAAAAACATAATACTCCCAGATAAAAGAGCTCGGCAAATGTAAGAACATGCAATTTACAGTTTTTTTATATCACTATTAATTCAACATTTCATAAACTTTTGTAGTCCGCCATCTTGATACTTCAAAGGATTATGGGTATAGTAGACATCATAGAATCATTTGTCATAAATTGAGAAAATGATTTCATCAATAACTTCAAAAGTTGAACTTCAAAATGGCTGAAAGTTTAGAACATAGTAGCATACATGTACCGGTGCCAAACACGCTTATAAAATAATTGTCATGGAAACAGAACTGAAAATATTTTTCTACAAAATGCTCAAATTTCTTTATATTGTATACAATTTACCGATGTGAGTAGGTTATAAAAGTGATATATTACCTGTTGACCACAAAAAGGGAACAAAACATGTGTCATTCTATATTTCACAACTAAACGTTTTTAACGTTTTCGCCAATATCTTCTCTTTACATGTATTTGTAACATTACTATAATTATATACATGAGTAAACGAAAATTTGAACTAATTTGCATCAGTTTTTCTCATGTTATAGATGAAACCATTTTTTCAATTTCTGACAACAGTTTCTATGATGTCATACTTTACCCATAATCCTACATAATATTGATGAAAAGTTGAATATCTAGAGAATGAAAAGTGATAAAAAGACTGTAAATTGCATTATCCCACATTTGTGGAACTTTTTATTGAACGGTTATTATGTTGTTTGGCTTGATGTTTCTTTTTAATTCGGCGATTGTATGGATGCTCGTACGCGTCGATCGTAAATGCAAATGACGACATTTTAAAATGAAAATATACGCTTTTCAGTGTTAACATAATCATTTATATACAAAAATTGAAGCATTGTTTTAAACTTTTGCATCGAATAAAGTCACAAGTTGCTGTATAGTTGACATGAATAAACCCCTAAGAATCAGAAATATGAACATGAACATTATTCCCGATAGTAGTCTTTATTTATTTATTTATTTATTTATTTATTTATTTATTTATTTATTTATTTATTTATTTATTTATTTATTTATTTATTTATTTATTTATTTATTTATTTATTTATTTATTTATTTATTTACTGATATTCACTCATTTTGATAAAACAATAACACGTTATTGAAGT